GGGGGTACAAAAGGAGGGTGAAAGGTGGACGTTTTCTTACCATCCTTCCACCTCCCAGACCACCATGCCGGGAATTCGGCGCGCCTCGAGGGGGACTCGACCAGGGCTGGTGGTGGCGCCCGACGGGACTGGCTGGGCATTTGCAGATGGCGCGCAGTCCAGGCCGCCGCCGATGTGTTCATCCCGTTTTGTCAGTATCGATCGGATCTTTCGGGCGTGGGTATAAAAGGCGCGCGCGCCGCCCGCCGTCTCCCTCTTTCTCCAGCACTCCCATCCAGAGCACTTCCCTCTCCCATCGCATCCCATCACACATAATGCCCATCACCATGACCACTCTTGACGACACGGCTTACCGGTACCGCACCAGTGTCCCGGGGGACGCCGAGGCCATCGAGGCACTGGATGGGTCCTTCACCACCGACACCGTCTTCCGCGTCACCGCCACCGGGGACGGCTTCACCCTGCGGGAGGTGCCGGTGGACCCGCCCCTGACCAAGGTGTTCCCCGACGACGAATCGGACGACGAATCGGACGACGGGGAGGACGGCGACCCGGACTCCCGGACGTTCGTCGCGTACGGGGACGACGGCGACCTGGCGGGCTTCGTGGTCGTCTCGTACTCCGGCTGGAACCGCCGGCTGACCGTCGAGGACGTCGAGGTCGCCCCGGAGCACCGGGGGCACGGGGTCGGGCGCGCGTTGATGGGGCTCGCGACGGAGTTCGCCCGCGAGCGGGGCGCCGGGCACCTCTGGCTGGAGGTCACCAACGTCAACGCACCGGCGATCCACGCGTACCGGCGGATGGGGTTCACCCTCTGCGGCCTGGACACCGCCCTGTACGACGGCACCGCCTCGGACGGCGAGCAGGCGCTCTACATGAGCATGCCCTGCCCCTAGGATCGATCCTGTGAGTGCACGTCAGTCTAGACAATGCGAGACACGCTCTGACCTACTACTCAAGAGATCCGCAGGTGAACGCGCCTATCGGTGGGATATTCGGGCGACGGGAGCCTCGGGCAATCTGAGCCTCGTTACTGCCTAGCAAATTCGGAATCCCTTCGATGTCATAGGGTCGCGGACAAGTGATCGTCTTGCTACATACTCCAAGGTGTTGACTCATTCCCTCGATAATGAACATTGTTGTTGTTGTTTGTTCTCTATCCGCTCAGTCACGCGACCCCACACGTGCATGGTTGAACTTCGCCACGCAACAACCGCATGACGACATGGCGAACCTAAGTAAAGGCTGAGTCGTGGACTAAAGCACTCCACTTTACGGCGAGGATGCCAGTCTACGTCATGAATGAAGCCTCAGGTCCCGAAGTAAGGGGGTACAAAAGGAGGGTGAAAGGTGGACGTTTTCTTACCATCCTTCCACCTCCCAGACCACCATGCCGGGAATTCGGCGCGCCTCGAGGGGGACTCG